TTATATCTATTATAAGTCTATGCATTGATCTAAGGTCTTAGTGTTCTATGATTTTGCAAACCTTTATCATCAGATGGATGAGTTATGCAATGAGCTTCGTGTTGTAAGTTTGACGGAGGAAACGCCAGTAGTACGAGTGGATCCTGTTGTGAAGGATGTGAGGCCGTACATGGTCTGCTGCATTCTTCAAAAGATAGACCTGAGTGGAGAAAACTTCAAGAAATTCATCTCTCTGCAGGTAAGGCTTTGTTACATAGTTGTATAGCTTTGTGTAGAGGTATATTATTTGAAAAATATTTTCTTTTATTCCTTAGAAAATTATTAAGTTTGGATGAACAGTTTCCACCTATTGTCTTTTATCCTGTCTCTAATTTTCTTATTTTGTATATTTAATATTTTGTGAATTTATTCTGTAATCTTCATGAAGAACTACTGTTCTTTATGATTGAGCTAAAATTATTGAGTTTGGATTACCAGTTTGTGTCTCCTACTTTTTTCTTTTTTCCCTAAATCATTTCTTTTTATATTCATTATTTCCCTATGAGGTTATTCTATAATTTTCTGTTATTTCACTGTGCTTTATTGTGCTTTTTTGTCAGAATACCAAAAGTAGGTAGTGCAACAAATAAATTTCAAAAAACAGTACAAATTATGATAAGGAAACCTGACCATAACATGATGCAATCATCAGACAAAGCTGCATGAAGGGATCTGTGAGAAGAGGCTTGCTGCAACTATTGCAACACATGACCTTGCAAAGATCAAAGGACCTTTGAAGTACACTGCACGTGATCCAAAAGAGATTGTCATCCATCCACTGATAAGGGGCAAGGAGATCACTGCCAAGGCTTTGCATGAGGCATTGCAACATGAGGCAGATGCCCAGAGAAAACAGATGAAGAAGAACATGACCACTGGACTTCATAAGTAAGAATACTGCTTCCCTTGCTTTTTTGTAGACAAGAAACACTAATGTGTATATATGTATACACCTGTGTACACAGGTGTGTAGACATATCCATAGCAAAACTCATTTATGTGTAATTGAACATTTAATTTCAGGTACCTTCACATAGTTGAACCATGGAACGTGTGGCCTTGTATTGAAGATTCTGCTGGAACAGTTGTGTCTTTACCACCCATCACAAATTCAGATAACACAAAGGTAATACCTACAAGATTTCTTTGTCATTTTTATATGTCTATAGACTTTGCACACATTTATATGTAATTGTAATCCACAAGTACGATAGATTATTAATTTCTTTTTTACAGATTACTGAGGAAACAACAGATGTGTTCATAGAAGTGACAAGCAGTAAAACTCTGGGGAAAGCAAAAGAGGTTCTCGATGCTCTTCTGCAGGTTATTATGCAGAATAACCTCTGCCCAGAAAGGAATGAAGGAGATAAAACAATCATGACAATTCAGCAGGTTAGGGTAGAAGATGAAGATGGAAAACTTCGGGTATTGTATCCATCTCGTACAGACCTACAATATGAAAATGAGAAGATTAGGGTAGTTATGCCTGAGAAATAACTTTCTCATTAGTGTTATATACCTGTTTGGAATTGTGATATTTTGGGTATGTATTGTTCAGATACCCATTAATTATTATCTTCATTGTGTTGAATCTACAAGTGTGATTTCTCTTTCTGATATTCAGAAGCATTTTCAGCCAGATGAATTCATTCATCCAGTCATTCATTGATTTGCTGAATCCTGTCATTCACTGAAGTGCTGATGAAATTAGTCTCAAAGTGATTAATATATATATTGTATTTATGAAACAAATTATGTCCTCATTAGGATTCAGATCTAAGTATCGCCAAAGAAAAAAGTTTTTTTTTTTTTTTATGTTCTGTCACTTAATCACTTTTGTTCAGTCACGCATTGTTCTTGAAAAATTAGCATTCTTTTGTAAGTCATGATCATACATAATCATATGGATATCAGAACAATGGCAACTCTCATATTAAACACAACACCTGCATTCAGATATATTTCCATTATGTAAGTGCATTAACCCATGTGAATAAGTAACAAATAAGAAAAAATGTATGTTTCTATATAAAACATATGCATGTATTCAGTAAAGATAAAGTTCTCATAAGGTTATATTAGTGGATGCACTAATCTGAACTGAGTAAGATGGTAAAATAATAGATGTTGAAGATACAGACTGCATTTTGGAGGAAATTACACAGGTGAGACACTCCTGTGCATTTTATATTTTAGGCCATAAAAGATGGGAAAGCACAGCATTTTATATTTTCTATGAGTTAAGGAGATGCAAGTCAGGACAGCAGATTTCTTCTTACTTAGGTTTAAGCTCATGTTAAAATTGTAATCATTAATGGCATCTACTCATGCATCTTAATGGTGCCTAAGTTACAATTATGCCTTAGAAAGGGAAGAGGATGTTTGGACATAAGTTGAACCAAGTCCAGTGCATATCAGAATCGGAGTAAAAGAAAAGGTGTACATGAAATGCATTTGTAAAAAGATGGAATAATTAGTTAGTTACAACTAAAAAGCCCTATATGAAATTGATTATTATAAAGATTTTCAAGCTAAGAAGTCATTTTGCATGTGCATGCAAGAAACAATGCTCAAAGTAGACCCAATTCCATAACCAAATTGTTCCTTCTTTATATTGATTGAATATCCTTTTCTGTTTCATATTTTGTACACTTACACCAGTATAGAAAAGAAATGATTGAGGACATCGACCACCAGGTAAAAATAATAATGGTAATGAAGCTGTATGGGAAATATACAAGACTAAGTTTGTTGAATTGTGGACTAATATCTTAAAGCATCCAACCAAGTTTGGAGAATGGAAAAGATTGATGTACTAGTTTGTTATAATGATTATTTTGATTGAGGATATACAGAATAAAATTAACAAGTACTATACATGGTAGTAATAAAAAAAAGTTTATGTAAAATTGTAATGTTTATAGGCATTACATAAGTTAAATAATCACATTAGTGAAATTTTGACATAAAATATAACATTACTCAACAGCCGAATTTTCAGTTTAATGTATTTTAATGAGTGATCTTTCATATATGCAAAATTTTGTAAGGAATGCATAAAAACTGCAAACTTGTATATTTTCTTTTCAAAATAAGAACTTGTTTGTTTGTTGTGCAAGAAATTCCATTTTTAGGATTCATTGTTATTATACTGTTTTGTATTTTTTTCCCTCCTTTTTCTATCCTTTTCGTTCTTTTTGTCTTTTTTGTCCATATTCAGATAAAGATATATGGAGAGACATATGACTGAAATCAAGGAAATTTTATTAAAGTTGATAAAAGTATATTAATATTGCAGATGTATGGCACTGATAAGGAGATCAAAGGAATTCTTTATTTTCTCTGGAAATTTTGTTTTACAAGTATAGAAAAGTCAAGTATGCATCAGGAATGACTGACATTCATATAACAATGTCACATTCAAGTGAATGCTAGTATATGTAAATTCACTGCCAGAATGAGACATCTGTTATTGCAGAAAGGGAGAAATGTAATGCATATTTTCTCATGGTGGTAAGTTGTCACATATACTAAATATTATTTGAAGAAGATTGGTACATTATTTAGAAAACACATCACCATATATAAAGTGTGTAGTTTACTAAGATGTGTAATCAGGATTATGTATTTTTTCATGATTAAAATTGTATATGGTTCTATGAAGTTTCTTTATTTTTCCCAAAGCCTTGTGAAAGTGGTACTGTTATTTTTTATTGATAAAAGACAGAGTTTTTATTTTTAGATTCAACTTGCAAAAATATTTGGAAATAATTAAGGCTAATGGTCCACAAGAAAACAATGATCACCGCAGTATAAAAACTATAGCTTTTAGGAGCACATTAGCGGATAGAAATTTTCTTAATAAGACCCATTCAGTAAAGAAATAATTATAGACAGTTATTAGTATTTCACAAGCTTAATTCTGTAAGAAAATCACCTGTAAGGATTCAAGAAGTTTTTGATATAAAGTCTTCACTAAATATTAAGTATTTCCTAATACCATTCAGAAGTTGGAAAATGTAGAGATATTTAGCTAGTACTTCTTTAGTTATCATAAAGATTCATATTATAGGCTTCATATAATCTTTTACAAGAATTGAAACCATATGTCAGAAGATTTTTAACATCCTTTTGGATAAGGACCATTCTTGTTTCACCCAAATGTATGAGTTCACTTTTACATTCATATTAAATTACTGGATCACAATTAATAATCAGACAGTATCCTGAGAGACATGTTCCACACAAAAATATATTGTTCCATGTTTCAAAAAGGTCTATCCAAAATACTCCATTTTTGAGCAAAAAATATATCCTCTGAAAGTGCTAACAGAAGTGCTGATGACATATTTGCATTTGCCATATTCTTAAAATATACTTTTAAGAATTATGAAGAATCCATGTTGCCTATTCAGTAAACTATATTTGTAAAGGAATTTGAATGCCTTAACAAGGAAATGCACAAAGGTCAGCATATTTTCTTTATATGACATTACTTAAAATTAAATCGGTTACATCATTAATTCATTTTAAAGAAAAGAAAGTACTTGGGAACTTACTAATGTCCTCCATTATTGCACTTCACTTTAAAAAGTCTACTGCTATTATAGTTCCACATATTTTAGATACGAGGAATTAAGCACATGCCACCAGGGAAAATGCTGTGCTCATTTTTTATCTTTTTGTGAAATGTCTCTATACATAGATGGCTCTGTTGGTGCTTCGCCACAAAGGAGTCGATTAGTAGACCTTTTGACCTTACCTAATTTCACCTTTCTTGAATTGGCAGGAAAATCATTTTTTTTAACTAATGCTATGAATATTGATGGTGTTATTTTTATTATAGACATCATAATCACTATAATGTTATAAGACATTAGTAGCAACAAAATAAGATAAAGAAAATATTTTCATAAATTGAGGAAAAGGGTACATGGTCAAGATAGGTATTACTGGGCTCAATGGTGACTTAGTACAAGTGTACCCATCTATGTGTAAAAAATTAATAAAGTAAACTCACAGTGGGCCTGGCATATACACACATGCCATGCCCATCGGATTTGGATTAACTTTTCTTATTTATATCTTATTATTTGAATGTGAATCTGGGATAGTGCCCTCTTGTTCAATATTAAGTGTTATCACAGTGATAAATAACTCTCCACAGGATGCATATTGAAATTATTCCTACTTGGTCAAGAAAAATCAAATCTGTCTTATTTATTTTATATTTTATAAATAATATATAATTATGATCTATTAAACAGAAGAAATGCAATAGTTTAACTATCATCTTAGGATGATGAAACTACTTCTTGAATTGCACATTTAAAATTCAGATATCAAATGCATGTAAATCTCTAGTTTTCTTACTAATAAATCCATTATAAAAATCCTTAGCACTCATGGGTTTACGTCCCTTCACAATCACTTTCTTAAAACTAACACAACCATCTGCACATTGAACACTCAGGACCTTAGTCTTTTTATTGAACACTGTACATCCAGGTGATAGACTTTTCACATCCTCATTTTCGCATTTTGTATTACTAGTTCTTTCAGAAAATGTAAACTCTTTCTCTACATTGTTATTTTTGTTGCAATTTTCTCTGTTGTTAGGCACAAAGCATGACCATTCCTCATGCATAACCATGTCTCGTAATTTTACAGGTGTTCCATGCCACAGGGTCCAAAGAGGGAAGTAATCATCCAATGCTCTGTACATAGCTTGGATCTTTCTACATGTGTGTTTTTCCCAATTGATTCTGGAGGACTCTTCCTTGACTTTGGGGGCTGAAAGAAAGAGAACATTTCCAGAAGCAAAGTTCAGTATCTTTTGTGTCTGACACTTATGAAGAGCATATATAAAGATTTCTTTCCTTTATATGTCTACAGTATAATTTAGTATTGCACTAACAATTGTATATTTATGCAAGTTGTACTATTTCGAAAAAGGTATCCACTAAGATTTTTTTTAAATATCAATTAAATCATTTGTACCTTTTGTGACTCCATTATTAGGCTGTGATGTAGCTGCTTGTAGATTCCCTGGCAATCCTTTCAAAGATGTTATTAGTTCATGTGCTCCAAGATCTGCTAACTGTTTGGTTAGAACACCACTCATTGTGTTCCAGCTGATAGGTATTGATGCCTGGCTAACAATTTCTCCAACATCAAACCTGTAAATAAGAAATAAACTAATTAATCACACTATTACATAAATAACAATAATATACTACATATAGCAGAATTACTATAAGCACCTACATACATACATACATGCATATACATAAATGTGTGTGTGTGTGTGTGTGTGTGTGTGTGTGTGTGTGTGTGTGTGTGTGTGTGTGTATGTGTGTGTATGTGTGTGTATGTGTGTGTATGTGTGTGTATGTGTGTGTATGTGTATGTGTATGTGTATGTGTATGTGTATGTGTATGTGTATGTGTATGTGTATGTGTATGTGTATGTGTGTGTGTGTGTGTGTGTGTGTGTGTGTGTGTGTTATATATATGTATATTTATGCATATTCATTATTCTGCACAAGACTATACCATGACATCCAACATGAAACAAGTATTACCCAAAAACTTACCTTCCTGGTTGAATTTTCATGACTGTTACTCCTGTTTCCTGATCCCCATTCAACAGAGCATGTATGATGGGTGCTGCACCTCTCCACCTCGGAAGTAACGAGCCATGCACATTCAGGATCCCTCTAATGACAGAAGTTCAAATTATCTATCAAACATTTTCTGTACAATTTAGCATGAATCTGCTGTTGTATCCACAGGTATGTAGATGTCAGAGCATTATAAAGAACAATGACTTACAAGACTTACAGAGGAAATGCATTTATGACTGATGCCGGTAGCAGGTGTCCAAATGAAACCACAACTCCAATATCATAGGCCCCAGGAGGTACCACCACAGGCCAGGTCTGCAGCGCAAGCCCCTCACTTCGACAGTAGCGACTCACTGCAGGAACAATTTTCTTCAGAGAAACTGACACTACTTCAAGCTTCCCTATTAAGCCACTGAAATATATAGATAATGTTATCATCTTTGTATCAATTTATACATCTACAGATAATACAAATAAGATTTTTTTTTATATTGTCCATAACAGATCCATGTACTAAACATGCTTACCTCTCGCTCTTTTGTTCATTGTGGAGGGCGACAAGGCTCTCTAATGCAAATTCATCTGTTCCAAAAAACATGATATCCCACGGCGGTTTTCTTTCATCCAAAATTCTGTCTCTAATTTCGACATTCCTTTTTCCATGTTCACTATGAATGGGTCTTCCATAACATGTCCAATATCTTTTTGAAGAGTATGTCAGCCTCGAATACTTATATCCAGCAGCGCCGATCGCATCACTTAACAGGAAAAGCCTATGTCCTAGATTGACTAACATGTTAATGGTTCATGGAATCAGCCACAACGAAAAATGTTAAAAAACTTAATTCGTCTGCACCTCCAGCCGCAATGTTTACCCGGCCATTCGTTCGCATAATTCGTGCATGCGACTTCTGACTCAGATGGGCTACTATTCCATAATCCATTAATTATTAATAGTTCAATCAGTTGTCATGCAGATAGCATTTCTGGAAAATAAACGCTGACCAATCGTATAAACTCGGCTCAATCTACCGAGTGCGGATTAGTAACTAGGACTAGTACCCCCAACTTTACCTCCACATTTCTGCATTATGTTCTCTGTCAGTAATACAAACATTTCGCAATAACGTATATTTCTATTACTAATTTGCGAGTATAGGTATATATATAAAGTAAATGTCCTTTCTGCTGCTCCACAACGGGTCGTCCGTCTCCTTTTCGCTCTGCCCTCTGCGTTATCTGTTACACCAACCGGTCTGCATGTCCTCTCTCATCCCATTCACAAACCTCTTTTGCAGCATCCCTCTTCTTTTCCTGCCTGAGGGATATATCTTCAGCATCCTTTTCTTGCATCACTCCTCTCTATCTATGCCCAATCCATCTCAACCTCGTTTCAGACATCTGACTGGTCTGACTGCGCTATCCTCCCAATATATTCCTAATCCTGTCGATCTTCGTCACAATGAAGATAGTGGACCCTGCTAACTCCATCTCCACCTCCTGTCTTTTTATAAGTGTTACTGCTAGCTTATCTATTCTCACTACTGTCTCTCAAACTCTGCAGATACTTCTCTATATTACTAATCATTTCTGCCCCCCCTCCCCCTCAAACTCCACCTAGCTTACACTCTCTTCTTTACACCCTCCATCGTCGTGAAAAATGGCCCAAGTATTTAAACCCATCCACCTTCATTACCTTTATTTTTTCATTCCGCCCTCCATCTCATTCACGCACACGAATGTTCTTTACCTTACTCCTACTGACTTTCATTCCCGTTCTCTTTAGAGAATACCTTCACCTACATAGGCTCTCCTCATCCTTGTATTACTACACACAGTCAAATATCATAATATATATATATATATATATATATATATATATATATATATATATATATATATTTATATATATATATATGCCGTGCCCAGGTTTGTGTGCCAGTGCTAACTGTCATGCCGTGCACATACTAGAGATTTTCACTTGTGAAAATTATCGACTGTCAGGAATGATCATTGGCTAAGTACAGTTTTCTTGAGGGATACCGCAGTGAACTTTGAATTCATTAGATCTAATTGGGGAAAACAGTGGAGATACATTTCACTCAGTCCTCGTAATAGCTAAAGGAAATCACTCTTGATAATGGTGTTTGATCTATGAGGTCGAATGCTTTCCATAGATCGATGGTGATGGTGGCCTGTTCCAGATGCTCGTATAAATTTGAGGTAATAAAGTAGTTATTCCCTTAGGGATTGCGCACGGAGCTGAGCGAGATGGATCGAAGGCTCGTCGCTGGAGTTTTATGGAATGGTTTGGGTGACTCGCTTAAATAGGACAGGAACCATGTCCTCAGTTCATAGAGACTCCTGTCCCTCGCCATTGCAAGCAAGAGAGGGCTATGCCGATCGTTGATCTTGTATTAAACCAGTCTGCCATTCCTACCGTCAATTTCTAGCGCAGCCTCATGGCTGTTACACTGTTCTCATATACCCTTATAAACTCATCTGCCATTCCAAACTCCCTCATTATAATAGCACAGCTCTCATTCCAACCTGCCCTAAACTCTAAATCTACGAAACTCCCACTGCAGTTCCTTCTGTTTTTTTTTTCTCATTAAACATATTGTTATTCACAGATCACCACTCATTACTGTCAGATCAGCTCTCTCTCTCCCCTCTCTCCCATAGCTTCTTGCTGTGGTTGATCATCTTAATAGTATAATCTCAGAGTTTAATAAAACATATCATCCTCAGAGGTTGACATCAATTTAGATAATGTATATCAACAATGTTTTTCGAGTGAAACCATAAGAAAAAGCAATCTATATATTTGAATTTCAAAATGATTACAATAATGATGATGATGACGATGATGGTGATGATTATTACTATTATTATCATAACTGATAATAAAAGAGATAATGATGATCGTGATGATTATGATAAAAAACTAATGTTAAGCATGATAATGATGATGATTAGTAACTCAAAAGGCTGTCATATAATTTCAGAATTCTTTCATAAGTTGTCCAATTCATTTAGCTTGAATCTTATTTACATGCATTTATCGGTAGTTTGTCAAATGAAGTCCATTCTCCCACATGATTGCAGAGATCATGTACACAAAATATATATATGCCGTGCCCAGGTTTGTGTGCCAGTGCTAACTGTCATGCCGTGCACATACTAGAGATTTTCACTTGTGAAAATTATCGACTATCAGGAATGATCATTGGCTAAGTACAGTTTTCTTGAGGGATACCGCAGTGAACTTTGAACTCATTAGATCTAATTGGGGAAAACAGTGGAGATACATTTCACTCAGTCCTCGTAATAGCTAAAGGAAATCACTCTCTTGATAACGGTGTTTGATCTATGAGGTCGAATGCTTTCCATAGATCGATGGTGATGGTGGCCTGTTCCAGATGCTCGTATAAATTTGAGGTAATAAAGTAGTTATTCCCTTAGGGATTGCGCACGGAGCTGAGCGAGATGGATCGAAGGCTCGTCGCTGGAGTTTTATGGAATGGTTTGGGTGACTCGCTTAAATAGGACAGGAACCATGTCCTCACCAATAGAGTTTATTGACTCACTAATAGAGTTTATTGAAGATGTACTAATGTCGGCAACTCGATAGTTCGGAATGGAGAGAGCAGCATACTGATATTTGTTAATGATTGTTGATAGTGTTCATAGCTTTCAAGGGCAAGTCCAGCATCACACTGACCCGAGAGGCGGCCGCCACTTTCTTGTTACGAAATATGTCGCTAATGCGGCTCTATCTGGGTTTGTTTTGTTAATTCATCAAATAATTATATTCATTTCCTTTAACCTGTATATTTTAATTTCATTTTTGTTTTTGTTTTTTTCCTGTATTATGTCTATCTTTTATGACTTGCCAATGAAGGTATTTGGTTCTCTCGATTTCTTTTATAGAAATGAATTACCAACTCAAGATTGAATCAAATTGACAACTGGATCAGGAGCGTTGAGTCATGGTGTTCAGTGTTAGACCTCTAAGACTTTGGGTGGGGTAATCCATGAAGAAAATTCGCGATTTTTTTTATGTATGTATGTATGTATGTATGTATGTATGTATGTATGTATGTATGTATGTATGTATGTATGTATGTATGTATGTATGTATGTATGTATGTATGTATGTATGTATGTATGTATGTATGTATGTATGTATGTATGTATGTATGTATGTATGTATGTATGTATGTATGTATGTATGTATGTATGTATGTATGTATGTATGTATGTATGTATGTATGTATGTATGTATGTATGTATGTATGTATGTATGTATGTATGTATGTATGTATGTATGTATGTATGTATGTATGTATGTATGTATGTATGTATGTATGTATGTATGTATGTATGTATGTATGTATGTATGTATGTATGTATGTATGTATGTATGTATGTATGTATGTATGTATGTATGTATGTATGTATGTATGTATGTATGTATGTATGTATGTATGTATGTATGTATGTATGTATGTATGTATGTATGTATGTATGTATGTATGTATGTATGTATGTATGTATGTATGTATGTATGTATGTATGTATGTATGTATGTATGTATGTATGTATGTATGTATGTATGTATGTATGTATGTATGTATGTATGTATGTATGTATGTATGTATGTATGTATGTATGTATGTATGTATGTATGTATG